CACATGCTTAAAAAGTTTGAGACGATATCCATTTTTATATTCTTTTTGCTATATCTAAAATTATAAAACATAAAGTAATAATGTTTCGTTAAATCGTTCTACTTATATGAAATATACTAATTTGGATCCCACGACCCAATTTAGATCTTATGAGTTTATCATAAACCATAGATGATTTAGGTATATGACAAGAAAAATTGCAAGAAATAAATAAGTAGTACAATCATAATCAAGATTAAAAAAATTTATGCATGTGATTTTGACAAATATGGTGAATTCGGTATAAATAATATCATATTAAAAATAGGTTTATATCTAAACATAACGTGTTATAAAAAAAATATAAAATTTGGAAGAAATTGCAATTTATCATTCCACTTGCGTGTTTTTTTTTTTGTTTTTTGGACAAATAGATATCACATCCTAATTATTTTCTATACTAACAAGTATAATACGATTAATGATTATAATTACATGATACTATATATGGTCTAAGGTTAAGTCGCTATAAAAAAAAGATTAATTTGATTATAGATTTTGTTAAATCACCGATCAGACATTTACAAATTAAGCCCCAATGTGCATTTTTTCATTTAAAAAGGAAAATCACCGATTAGACACAATAACAATAGCATAACTCAACTATAAAATTTGGAGAAACTTAAAAAAATGCCACATTTCAAGTGTCATTTTACAAAAATGTCACACTTTTGAAATTTTACAAAAATGCCACTTTTTAAAAATTATGTTTTCTTTATATTATTTATGTTTTGGTTAACTATGTTCTATTTAGTTATGAGGGTTTAGGAGGTTTAAGGGTCAAAACATTTTTTAGTGTTTAGAATTTTGAGATTTAAAGTTTAAAAATCTATAATTAGTGATATTTTTATAAATAAACACTCTTAAATAGTATTTATACAAATATACACATAAAAATGGTATTTTTGCAATTTTTCCTAATTTTTGTTACATTTACAAATGAAAACAGTTGTTACAACTATTTATTACAAGTTACAACAAACATGTAAAAAGGAAAAGCCATCGTATTTATTAACAGAAAAAAACTGAGAGAGAAGAGTGTCTTTAATCGTATGATACAGACACTTGTGACTTTAATAAAGTCATTGGCGTTGCTTTGTCGTTTTCTCGCGACAATTTTTTTTGACAGGACGTCTCCTAATTATCCACCTCTGTCTTTTTCCTTTTTATATTTTTCTCTGCCAAAACTCAAACTTTTTTTCCTTTTTTTTTATAAAAGAATCTCTATTTTGTGATACCAATATATTTTTTGAAAAAAAACATATTTATTAGTTTTGTTTATATTTGTAGTTTTTGCATTGTTGTGTTATATAGCGATTATTATGGACAGAAATGGGATAAAATAGCTGAAACTAATAAATAATTAATAGAAAACAAAGAATTAGCTAATATTCCTATAGTCGATCGTGATTGGTTAGATTGTAGTAATTTCTTATAGTTTTTTTTTAAATTATAACTTTTGGTTACTAACCAAACTTTAATATTTTAGTAGATGCATGCGTAAGAGAATTTAGGCTTCCATAAGATAAACACAATTGAATTAAAAAGTAATGACAAAACTAAACAAAACAGTTATAATTAAAAAAAAACTATTAAAAATCTAGTAAAATAAGTGAGAATAAAAAAATTGGGACCAAATTTTTTTTTTTTTATCAAACTCGTGAATTGCATACTGTAAACCCTTGGATCTTTCTATATAAGTTTCAAAAACTGCAATACTAC